GGGTGCAAAACTGCTGTTTTCCTAGAGTATTTTGCAGTTGGGTTGTGTCCTGTCCATCCTGTCCTTGTCCCACACTGTTTCTGTTCATCCTCTCCAAACCCAGCAGATGTGCCGTGATTCCAGTACCTAAAGGGGCTACAAGAAACCTGGAGAGGGGCTTTGGACCAGGGCCTGTAGGGCTTTGGGGATTTTTTTTTTTTCCATGGATTTTCCATCCCTGGCAGTGTTCAAGGCCAGGTTGGACACAGGGCCTTGGAAAACCTGCTCTAGTGGAAGGTGTCCCTGCCCGTGGCAGGGGTTGGGACTGGAGGAGCTTTAAGGTCCCTTGAACCCAAACCAGGCTGGGATTCTGTGGTTCCCAGGCACTGGCTCTGGATGGCACAGTCTGTGGTGCCCCTCAAGTGGCTGAACCAGGTGATGGTTTTGGGGTGGGTGCAATGAGGCTGTGCAGGGTTTGCTCCTGGTTGTGGAAGCAACTCCTCTGTCTTGTTCCTAGGCACGTCTTGTCACACAGCATCCCCCTGAGCATCCTCGGACACTGCAGTCCTTCCCTGTGCTCCCAGTGGATTTTCCGCAGGCACCATCCACTGCGGGATGATGACGTTATGGCTGGAGCCTTCTCCTTCCCCTGAGCAAGGGAAGGAGGGGGCAGGACTTCAGCAGAGGTTCATTGCCCCTGGATCAGCCCGCTGGAGTCACATCCCTGGTCCAGACACGTGGCGCTGCCTCTGTCATCAGCAGGGGCTGGGGCATGGCTCTGCTGATCAGAGCCCCAAACCCAGGTGACAGATGTGTAGGCATCGAATGCATCCTCCTTTGTAAGTGCTGGAGGAAATACAGGTGCTAAGTGTTCCCAGTGGCCAGAGGTGGTGATAAACACTGATGTGAGGGCTGAGGGGTACTTGGGAAAGGTAAAGCTCTGTTTTTTTAGGAGGAAGCTTTATTGTCTGTGACAGCAATCACATGCTGCTGCCCTGAAAATGACCCCTAATGCTGTCTGCTGGATCTGTGAGTGCAGCAGCAGCGGGGCTGGGCTCTCCTGCTTTGGGAGCAGCTCACCTTCCAGTAGAGCAGGCACTGGGAGCTGCTCTAAGGTCTGCCTGGAGCCTTCTTGATGCCTTTTTGCTGCTGACTAGGTAAAAGGCAGCAGCTGAGATGCCCTGTCCTCAGTGCCATGGTTATGGGGGAACCACGACCTTGATTAAAGGCCTCAGTGCTCCTTCTGTTCCATTCTGGTTTTACCTGAGGACAGCTCTCAACCATCTCTTTTCCCAGTAGGTGCATGGCACTGGTTGGGTGCAGGGGACATTTGCATTGCACAGTCTGCTTTTGGCTTTTACCATCTCCTCGGTGGGTTCCTGGCACTGCAGGAGCCAGTCTTTTGGCTTGGCTCCTGCAGCATCGATCCCACACTTCCAGCTCCCTCCTCTGCTCATTCCCTTACCTGCGAGCAGCAAGGCAGATTTCCTTGCTCAGGGCCAGCCCTGTCTTTGGGAGGCTCCAGAGGCTCGGGTGAGTGGTGGTGAGCGGCTCAGGGCTGCAGGAGGCTCGGGGAGAAGGTGATGTAGGAATAACGAGGACTTTTCCTGAAAGCGAGGGTGCTTGGGAAAGTTTGCACTCACAGGGTGGAGAAGGAAGCTGCGGGATGTAGGAAGAGGAGAGCATCTGTGCAGGACCTGGAGAGGGAGGTAAGCAGGGACTCACTGGTGTCATGCTGTGTAGTGCTTTGGGCTGGAGGTGTCGCAGCTGGCCTGTGGATGCAGTTTGGGAATTTTGGAATGTTGGGTCTAACACTGAGCCCTTCAGTCCTTTTCCTGCTCCTGTCTATCCCTTGGAAAGACTCTTCCCGGCTCTGAAGCACTGAAGCAACCTGGCTGTGAGCAGGCTGGGTGGGAGCGTGGAGGTGCCTCTGGTGGGTTCCCTGTCACTGGCTTCCCTGTGGGCTGTGATGCAGCCGGGAGCATTTCCAGCGCAGGGAAGTCCCCATGTCATGCCTCCAGCCAGTGGCTTTCCCACCAGCTCCAGGGAAATTGCAAGTGATGGGAAACACTTATCTGAGGGGAGTTTTAGAGCTGGACAATGGGCTGTAGAGAGACTTCCTGCCTTAATGGCCTCCTGGTGAGGAGCTGCTCTGGGCACTGAGGGCTTGCAATGCTCTCCAGGCAGAGGAACAAGCCCGAGGAAGCTTAGGGATGGTGGCTGCCCATCCGTGTTACATGGATTAATAGCATCACAGCTCCAAAAATAATCTTCCCGGCTTACAGCGAGGCTGCTGTTCCCATGGTAACTGCTCATGGAGTGCCCTACAAACAACAGGCACAGCACATTGCCTGGAAGTCAAAACGAAGTGTGAGGTGGGGAGGAAGGTGCTCAGCTCGCGGGGCCAACGCGCAGAGTGTATGACCATCTTCCTGGGCCCCCAGCACAAGAGGGACGTGGAGCTGCTGGAGTGAGGCCAGAGGAGGCCCCGGAGCTGCTGTGAGGGCTGGAGCAGCTCTGCTCTGGAGGCAGTCTGAGAGAGCTGGGCTGGGGCAGCTGGAGAAGAGAAGGCTCCTGAAGGGAAGACCTTAGAGCAGCTCCAGTGCCTAAAGGGGCTCCAGGAAACCTGCTCAGAGCAGCATGGGGTCCCTGTCGCAGCGAGCATCCGAGCACTGAAGGGTACACTCTGCTCCATCCTCCTGATGCACCAGCTCAGGACAGGTACAAAGACAATACTTAGTGCACAAGGAGGTGTGTACCTGCTACCAGGGACCAGCCTGCCTTTGTGTGTCCCGGAATGAAAGGCACTGTGGGAATACTGGAGATGTTTAGAACAGAAAGTGGGCCTCAGGGAGGTTTTGGTTATTTCCTTACTGGTGGAAAAGTGGCTTAAATTTTCTTGCTGGATCTCATGCACGTGGCACATACAGAATGCTGTGGTGTAAGCCCATGCCCATCACCGTGGTACCTCTCTGCACCCTCCTGGGATGGAGCCCTTCAAATCCTGCCTGTCCCTGTTCCCCTTTCCCTGCCTGTCTCTTCCACCTTAAGCTGGAATCTTCCCTGGCACTGTGTGTGCTCCCAAAATGCTGGTCCCATCCCTAAGAGTGGGGCTGTTCCATGGGCTCCATGGCACCTCAGCCCTCCCCAGCTGCTCTCCTTCCCTGGGAAGTTCTCAGGGAGCTTCCATGGGGATGGGGAATGCTGGCTCTGGTAGTCCTTTGTCCTCAGTGGCCCCAAGCTGCTTCATCTCCTGGCTTTAATCACTGCTCCTCGTGGTTGTCAGAGGTTCGTGTGAGGATGCTCGGGGCTGGGTTGCAGATGGACCAAGTGGTTGTGTTGGGAGATGCTGCCCTGATTCCATGTTGGTTTATGCCTTGTTTCCCAGCAGAGCTATGAATTCTTCTCCAATGTCCTTCACTGTCCCATCATGTCCTTTTTGGGTGGCTTCAGAGCCACGAGACTTGGTGCAGCACCATGTGTGCTCTGCTGCTGCTTTGACACTGAGTCCTTTGCTGTTTTCCAGGTTGCTCTGGCTCTTGCCTTGGGAACAGCCTTGGTGCTGTCAGATGAAGGCAGCTCTTTCTCTCATTGTCCTTAGCTGGCCCACGAGCAGTGCAGTTGATACAAGTGATCGCTGAACATCACTCACAGGATCTACAGCATTTTGAAAGATCTTATAAACGAGCCATGGGTAAACCCCAAGCCCCTGTCAGTGAATTACAGGCTTTTCTTCTCCCCTGGCAGCTCAGAAAGGGGATGTGCTGCCCCCCCGTTGTAACTGAGGCATCCCCAGATCCATGATTTATAGCATTGGGGTGTCTCAGCCCAGTTGACTTGGAGGAGATCCTCATCCCGCCACGTCCCCCAGCCATAGGATCACAGATCCCAGTGGGGTTTGTGTTGGAAGGAGCTTAAAGCTCCTCCAGTTCCATCCCCCTGCCACGGGCAGGGACACCTTCCACTAGAGCAGGTTGCTCCCAGCCCCTGGGTCCACGCTGGCCTTGAACACTGCCAGGGATGGGGCAGCCACAGCTTCTCTGGGCACCCTGTGCCAGCGCCTCAGCACCCTCACAGGGAAGAGCTTCTGCCTCAGAGCTCATCTCAGTCTTCCCTCTGGCAGGTTCAAGCCATTGCCCTTGTCCTGTTCCTCCATCTCTTGTCCAAAGCCTCTCTCCAGGTTTCCTGGAGCCCCTTTAGGCACTGGAGTTGCTCTAAGGTGTCCCCTTCAGGAGCCTTCTCTTCTCCAGCTGAACAAGTTTTGAACCAGTGTTGCTGGTCACCACCTCTTTTTAATCCAGAAATATCTGATGGAGGGAGGGGAGATGAAGTGGCTGCTCCATGCTCTGCTGCCTTAGTGGGTTTTGGGTGCACCTGGAGAAACCTTGGCTTGAGTTTGGATACAAGGATGTGGTGCAGACGCAGTGCCGGACCTGCTCTGCTCTGGCTTTTTCTATTTGCTTTGGGCAGTGCCTCCTCTCGCAGCCCCTCACCTCCTGGGTTGTGGTGGGACAACCTGAAGAGATGCTGCATTATACTCACTGCTTGATTTTAGATTGGTTTTCTGGTTTTAAGTCACCCCAGTGATCTGGAGTTGCTGCAATAACCATTTGTGCTGAACCTGAGCTTTCAGTCATGGGCTTTCTGCCCTCTGAAGATGTAATTATGGTTTTGGGTTATCCTCCCCTGTGCCTTTTTGACCTTTCCCTTGGGTGACATAGTTCATCCTGCCCAAAGCAGAGTGTGCAGAGCCCTCAGGAGGTTCACACTGCACTGGGCTACCCTGGCCGTGCCACCCTATCACTCAGCCCTCAACCAAGTCCCTTTGGTACCTCCCTGGGGCTCCGGGTGACTCCTGCATTGCTCCAACACTCCATGCTCTGCTCCTGGGAGACATGGTGGCCACAACCCCATCCCTGGCAGAGCTGCCTGCGCCCGGGGGGGAGGCAGGAGGTCCCCTGCCCGCGCCACGTCCGGGGGTAACCATGGAAACTGATTCTCCTCCATCCCTCCCTTTGCAGATGACTCGGGTGATGAGGAGCCTGCCTCGCAGTCAGACAAGAGCGAGCTGCACGGCACGTTGAAAACCCTCTCGAGTAAGCTGGAGGACCTGAGCACTTGCAATGACCTGATCGCCAAGCACGGGGCGGCCCTGCAGCGCTCGCTTAGCGAGCTGGAGAACCTCAAGCTGCCGGCCGAGAGCGGCGAGAAG